AAATTTTGTTATAAAAAAATGTTATTATTATTTTTTGTTCACACATATGTATATTGAAATATTGTGAGGGATACACTCACTCGGATCCTGAATAAAGTTGGAAAATTTTATTTAATAACCTTAGATGTAAAATCCCAATCACCTTTGTTATTTATATCGATTTTTTTTTTTGAAACTGCTCATATAATTAAATCCTTGTATGATGCATAAGCTAATGTGAATAGTATACTTTTTTGGATACATCGAAAAAAGAAAAAATAGAAACCAAAATAAAGCAATAAAATGGAGCAGTAATTACGTGGACTCCATCCTCTTGAAGATGCTCTGTGACCATTTGTCCAGAAATCAGTTGAAGACAAGTAGCATGGTCAATTTCCTCTTGGAGCATCTGGTTAATTTCCTCAATCGAAGTATCTACATGCAACTTCTAATCTATCGATCTGATAGCTTGGATGACCTCTGCTGCATCACTAAAAAGTTTTACTTCTCTAAACCCAGTCCCGGTGCAAGACAACTAAGGGTGTAATATTTTTAAATTAATAATTTAAAAATAATTTAATAATTTTTTTAAAAAAGCACGTACATATCTTACTATTATATCCTGCATGCCTTGATATTTTGAAATCATTTAGCAATTATCTTATTGTCGATGCTAATAAAAATAATTTTTTTAATATAAGTCATTAAACAATTATTCGTTAATGAATTTTTTATATGATTTTGCAATTGATTTTGCAACAGAAAAGACTCTTCTTATAATTGCTGTGGCAATCGATAATATTATTAATAACTTCAAGAGAGCATAAATGAAGAGATAAACTATATGTCTTCTTGTTTATACCAATTTTTTTTTTGTTTGCAAGACTACCAATTCCTTTTAATAATGCAAATATAGTATTGCTTTGCATATTAAGTTTCAAGTTGATTATCAAGTATCATTAAATTAAAGGAAGAAAACTCACATAGATAGAACTTGACAAATTCAATTAAATTTTTCTTATCAAAATTTTGGGTTAAATTTTTTAACCTTCAGTTGAACATATTTAAAATTTTTTTCAAAACCCAAATATTTTTAAAGTTAGGATGTGAGAAATATTTAGATGAAGGATGCAAAATAGTGAAACTTATGACCCTTATAAGTTTCTTCATGTCCAGGGTGTGCATTTGCCCCCATGAACTCAACATAGCGTCACTTATGATCCCAGGCCCCTTTGAAGACCTATCAGTCTTCCCCACAACTCTGCAGTAAGGCTACCTCCTTCTGAAAGTTAGGGAAAAGAAAAAAAAAAAAAAAAAAGCTTCCACCACCTTCCGATTCATCTTCAACAACTTGCAACAATTTGTATTAAAGTAGGTAATTTAGGTAGGTAAGTATTTTGGATTGAGCTCAATTTGGACCATCTCATTTAAATCCAAACTTATAGAAAAGCTTGAATAATCAAGCTTGACCCAAATACATGAACCATCAATTTTTCATTTTTAAAATTAATTTAATTTTACTTTAAAATTATTTATTTTTATTTTATAAAAAATATACCATAACAATGAATCTTATTTCACAAAGTGGGATCAATTATATGGATTGTACGATACTATTGTAATTTATCATTTATCAAGCTTTTAAAAATATAAAATATATTTTTTTAAAATACTTAAAAGATATAGAAGACTAAAAAAAATTAAAAAAATATGTGGGTCATAAAATTTTAAAATTAATATTAAAATACATTTTAAATATTGAAAATATGACAATGTAAATATTTTTAATTTTTTAAGAAAATATCTATAATAATGTGTTCAAATATATGATATCATGGTATAAAATGACATACAATTTAAAAGATTAATTAATATTTAATATATTTCTAAAAATAATTTTTTTTTATTTGAGTTCAAGAGCTTGGCCCAAATTTTTTAGGCTTCTATGGGCCAGTCTAAATAGGCCCAAACTTTTGAAACACAATTTTATTGAGTCTGGTTTTAATTCCTTTTTTTTTTTTAGTTTATTTGGGTTCATACTCGCTTGAATTATTAGTTCTAGCCTATATCGTGAGAAACATGAGAGAACGCCTCATCCACCCAAACCGACACTTCTAACTTCTCTATTACCATGATGAGGACCTTCATTAATGTATCTGGTTTTGGTTACAATCTCCAGATCTATCAGATTTTAATTTCTGTTTTGATCAAGTCAGACATCGAAGAATACCACTAGCTTCGACCTCGCAAGTAAGCAGCACTTCATTTGAGTTTTGGTGCACTCGCTCATTTTGATGTTTCCAAAAAGAGCCACCATAAGATGCTAAACAAATCACACCAACATCCATAACTCTCAGCTCCTTTATCCTGAATATTGTGGTATAACCATGAATCTATATTAAACTGAAAGAACCAGCCTTGCTTCTTCGTGGTCGGATTAGCTTCATCCACACCTCTCTAACAAGTCCACAGTTACATAACACATGTAGAGTATCTTCTGTTCTCCCATCGCAGACATTACACTCCTCAATGGTATGAAGGCTCCCTCTTGACACTATTTAAAAAATGCTTTTGGGAGTGTTTATTTTTCACTTTTAGGAATGCTTTTGAAACACTTTAGCAAGGTGCTTTTGGGGTGGCCTATGATATCGCTTCCCTTGATGAATTTTGTTTCATCTGTCATCAACCTTCCATGTTTTACCAACCACGAGTCTGGCATCTCTGTGGTATTTGCAATTTCCATATCATTGACCATATCAAATTAGGCTCCACCCCTTGATGGACATAGAGTTGCACAAATTTTAAAAAATATCAACTCGTTGCTGATACAGAAAAAAAAAAAGAAAAAAAAGGAAGAAAAAAAAGTAAGTAACAGGTGAAAAATGTGACAAGAAGAAAAGCAAAAGAAAACCAAAAAAATAAAAAATAAAAGAAGGAAAGAAAGCATGTCACGGGTGTGACAAAGAGAAGAAAGAGAAGAAGAGCAAAAGCAAAAAGAAGAGTGAAATCTTGTTGATAAAAAGAAGGGGAAAAAAGTGCAAAACAAGAGTGAAAGAGAAAGAAAAAGAAAAAGACGTGAGTGGAATCTTGTCAAAAAATTTCAAGCACAGAAGAAAAGGTAATCAGGAGCTAACTCAGTTGTGACTTTTCTAAACTTCTATTGATTTAATTTTACATATATAATAATAACAATATAGTGAAAGAGTCAATATTTCTCTGGTCTCCACCTCACCTTCTGCTCCTCACGTGAATTCACTACCTTCAAGCGTTGCTTCACCTACTCCCATGTTGCTTGATCTTGGCTCTTTTATATATACATACATACATACATACATACATACATACATGATCTTGGTCTTTTTAAGTCAATATTTGGCATTGAATCATCACCACAGCAATATTTCCCTCGCAGCACTTGGGCCCATAACACATTGCGATCGGCGACTAGACGCCACCCAATTTTCATAAGCCAAGCCTTATTTTGCATGTTCGAGTGGCAAATTAAGTCCCAAGCCTCCAAATTGCTTTCCACTACAAATCTGATCCCAAGCATTGGTTATCTATGCGAGCCATGTTGATAATACTTCGATATGAATGATTAAAATAATGGGCATATTAGGAAACTTAATAATTAATCAACATTTTTTTTACAAATAACTAACTTAACTATTTTCTTAATACTTGAGAATTAGTTAATTAACTGTTACATTTTGAAATAAAATGGAGTTTCCAGTACCCCTCCATGCCTTCTCATATAATTGTAAGTTGCATGTCATTTTCATTTGATTGTTTCTCCATGTATATTGAGTATTTTTTAGAAACTTATTTTATTTTTAAATATAATAGGTTTCACAATATTTTTGAGTAATTAAATAATTTTATACTTATATTGAAAAAAGAGAAGAAATGTTAATGGTATCCTTTACCCATCACCATGTAATATTAATTGACATAATTAGAGGTAAAATTAAAAAATATTGTGATTTAATGTGATCTTAACTAAATAATAAACTTTTATTAACACATAAAATTGAGTTAAAAATATTTTATATATAAGGACAGATGGAGTAACAATTAAGACAGCCTTTCCATAATGGAAAGAAATTAATATAAAATGAAAATTTGCTTACAATTCAAATTTCAAAACTTACGGAAAATTGCATTAATGGATTACTGAAATTCCTTAATATATGAAAAAGGATTAATGCATTTTAAATTTGTTAGTAGAAATATTATTCTAGGAAGCATACATATAAAAAATATCAAGTAATATATGATAACAATTGAGCAAACATGAGCGTAAAAAATGTCAAATATAATAATCTAAACAAGCATGATAGTAAAAAAAATAATAAAAAAATATTGTTTTGATATGCATGTATATAAAAAGTGATAAGTAAGGATACTACTTTAACAAATATGAGTGTGGGAAATAATAAGTATAGCAGTGAAAAAAGACAATAGTGATTAATTTTTTAAAAAATATAATTTTAAATTTTTACACTTTGCCCGAGTTTTACTATAAATTTTTATATTTTTTTTTATATTTCAAGTTTTTATACTTTTTTTTAATATTTTAAATTTTTATAATACCATTCATAAAGACACCTATAACATTAAAAAAAATTATAAAAATTTAAAATATTAAAAAAAATATAAAAATTTATAATAAAATTTAAATAAAATGTAAAAATTTAAAGTTATGTTTTCCTTCACTTTTATCTTTTCTCCGTCAGTTTTTCGTCAAGGGTCATGTTTGATTAGGGACGGCATGGGAAATTCATAATGTTTTAGTTTTTTCTTTTAATTAATGCGGTACAGTGGTTCATGAATGCGATTTTTCCTTTAAAAAAAAAAAAAGGCTCACAAAGTGAACACTGGATACGCGTTCGAAACCTGCATCACTTTATCCAATAAGAAAGAGACACGTAGGACAATGGGTGCCGCATGACGTGTCCAGTGAAGAGCCAACGTTCTCGGATTTGGACTTTGGTCCTCCCTATTAATGTCATTCCGACGCTTGGTATCATCTTCCGGATGAAGCATAAAACTTTCGCTGGTGTTCCGTTCCCTGCTCGGCGATTTACGACGTGTGGAGGTGGAGGTGGAGGTGGTGTTTTGACCCGGTGTTGACAGTGCCGACGAAGTTGGAGGCTTCGCTTCTGTTGAAATTTATATCGAATTTTGTGAACGAAGTTTGAGGTTGAGGACTCATGGCGGACAAGTACAATTTGAAGAACCCGGCGGTGAAGCGGATCCTACAGGAGGTCAAGGAGATGCAATCGAACCCTTCTGATGATTTCATGAGCCTGCCACTTGAGGTACCATTTCTTTTGCTGGGAGTCCTGTTATATTAGGGTTTGATAAGCGAGATCCGCTGTGTTAGTTCCTCAATTTGGATGGGTATAATGTTTCTCTTCGTATATCTGGTCATGTGATTATGATTATTGGAACTATCGAGCTCAGGTTTGGTCGTTGGTTGCAATTCATTAAACTTAGTTTTAACTGTTAATTGATAGATCCATTTCGAACCACAAGTCGTTACAATTAATTGATTGGGATTGTGGTTTGGTCGTTGCCCAATCGTGATGAGATCATAAGATTTGCAGATCGAAATTAAATTGTAGGGAAAATTAATCATCCAGTCCTATGGTAGTCTTGATTCGGTCACAACTCAGTCTTCGAGTTTAGCTTGGTGCAACTTACTCCTCCCTCATTTAGCTTGGTTGCTAAACTTTGTGTTGGTTACAACAAGGCCTCGATATTGTTTGAAAGTGTAAGCATCCATTTATTAATGGCTGAAAAGTTAAACTTCAAAGGACTAAATTGTAATTGAGTTAAAACTGCAGGAGTAGATGATTAATTTTTTTTTTCTCTGACGAAAATGATTATTTTTTTCTAAATTTTTTATGGGAATTTAGTTTATGAATTGATATGTGGGTCCAACTTATGTGAAGTTATTACTTTGTTCACTCACTGAAGCTTTTATGATTAGAATTAAAACTACAGTTTTCATTACATAAATGATCAGTCCTTCATTATGATAGACTGCCTTGTTGAAACTTATGGATGTATGTTTAGGAACAAAGTAGGATGGAAAGTATATGGGATTTCTTTGTTTTTTTTTTTTAGCATAACATTTCCCATAAAACTTTATCATTCTTTTTCTTACCCTCCTAGTTTGGGAGCGCCTTATTCTCAGTCTTACTTCATTTTAGCTTTATTATTGAATCTTTTAAATTTTCTAATTGTTTACCAAACTTATTGCAAAAGTATATGTTAACATTATATTCATGAGGATTAGTTCATTCATTTATTGCGAAGTTAATATACGTACTTAGTTATATAATAAACAGTTAGGTAATGTTGGTAGATGCGATTTATCTAGCAATAAGAGCCTTGGTTGATGCTGGGTTATAGAAATCGTTTTTTTCAACCCCATATTCTGCTCCGTTAATGCAATCAAATATTACAGAGTCACTGGGTTATGTTGGAAAAATGTATAAAATTGGGATCTTTGATTCTTTTCGGCTTATTCCACTGAAATTATTCTATGCTTTCATTGTGGTAAAATCCTGAAGCCTTTCTCTTACTCTATTTAATTATTTATTTCATGTAAGGATGCCTCCTACTTAAGAAATGAGACCTTACCTGTCATCCCAATAATGTTTGCATCAATTTATAACTCATGTGCCTATCTGACTTTTGGAATTCCACTATTAACTATCATGCTTTTTTTCTTCTTGTACTTTTAGAGTATTTTCTCTAACTTTAATTTCATCAGGAAAATATATTTGAGTGGCAATTTGCAATTAGAGGACCTGGTGATACTGAATTTGAGGGTGGTATTTACCATGGGCGTATCCAGTTGCCTGCAGAATATCCGTTCAAACCACCTTCCTTTATGCTATTGACGGTAAGCTTTTTTCCCAATGGATGGATCAGCAGATTTTATGTCATGCTACTGCTCTATCTTCAATTAGTTCTGTTTTGTGAACCATCTTTTATTGTCAGAACTCCTGACACTTGAAGTCTCAATTCCTAACTGTTTATAAATTTCAATGTTGTGCTATCAGCCTAATGGACGTTTTGAGACCCAAACCAAGATTTGCTTGAGCATATCAAATCATCATCCTGAGCATTGGCAACCATCATGGAGTGGTAATTAATATTCCTTTCCAGTTGATCAATCTGCTTTATATTATTTTTTTCTATATATGATTGATCATTTTGGATACCAAGAGTCCGAGACTCATATATGTGGGATTGAAGTGTGTGGGGACATAATTTTCACTTGATGAAAGGAGTTTTGTGGCTATTCTTGTATCATCAATTCATCTGGTGGGCTCATGAATCATGATATCTTTTCTTGTGTCTTAGGAGAAGATAGGAGCTATTTTTCCTACTGAGAAATATTGATCAAACAAATTAGTAGTAATTCAATTAAATAACCAGTCTGAGAACGTATTTCTCAGTTAATTTAAGCCTTTTTATTTGGTGCATTACATTAATGACTATGGAGTTTTTATTGAAGCTTCAAATCTCTGATGCAGAATGTTCTGACTTAGCTTATGTGAATGTCTTTTGGCAGTAAGGACTGCTTTAGTCGCTCTGATTGCATTCATGCCCACCAACCCAAATGGTGCATTGGGCTCGCTAGATTACAAGAAAGAAGAGAGGCGTGCCCTAGCCATTAAATCTCGGGAAGCACCTCCAAAATTTGGGACTCCTGACCGCCAAAACTGATTGATGAGGTAAAAGTTGCTTAATGTCTTTTTAGTAAATTCCATTATCTTCTAGAAGGTTTGAAAAACCTTCACTCATCACCCCCTCTAGTCAGTCTATACCAAAAACTCCCCTCTATGAACATGATTGTTGGCAGAGTTCATGCTCTATGCAGTTTGCTTCTTTAGAAGCTCTAATTGCCTAATGAAATGCAGCATGAATTACCAAAAGATCAAATTAGTACTCTTCTAGTCCTATTTGTGGGTTAGAGAGAGAAGATTAATTTTAATTCTATTTATAGGGCACTTCACTATTTTCTTTGTTTCATCTTTACCTTTCTGCCCTTATTAAATGCTAGGAAAAATTATTAAAAATAGTTTTTGTTCTTATTAAGGGGTAGAGGTGGAAATTTATTAAATTTTAAGATAGATTTAATAAGGTTTAAGGTTTTTCTTTGTTGTGGTTAAATATGTTGAAAGTGAATTGTAAATAGGATTAAAAGGAGTGTGAAAACTTATAATTAGGGTTGTAATAGTTATATCTGAAATCTAGAATGAATGAATGTAGGTTTCACCAAGCTTTAGATTTGTATAGTACAAACTAAAACTAGAACTTGGATCTAGCCGGCCTTTGTAAGATTGAAGTGAACTTGATTTTGAGGATTGTACTTGGTCATCCCAGATACACGAGTATATGCTCAGCAAAGCACCCCCTGTTCCTCAACTCAGCCCCTCAGAGTCTCCTGATGAAGAACACCTTAAAACTGAGGAAACCGAGGCCCAGATTAATCCACAAAATCATGAGGCTATGCCTGCAAGACAGGAGCTTCCTGTTCAAGCAATGGATGATGACAGGATTCTTGAAGAACAAAATGCCTGCAACTGCAAATCCTAACCCTGGAGTAGTTGAAGCTTCCAGGGAGATTCCATCCAGTGTGCCTCTCAATCAGGTGCATCAAAATTCAGATTCAAGGGTTCAGAATCCAAAGCCAGAAACAAGGGTCCAAAAACCTGACGATCGCTTGTTCACTATGGCTGCCATAGGACTCACTATTGCTATTGTGGTCCTTTTGCTGAAGAAGTTCATTACATCTACCGAACATGGTGCAGTTTTCATGAATGGATCTTGAGATATATATTCATTGCCGTTTGCTGGCTCCAAAGAAAAAGGCTTTCTGGCCTCATGTAGTTATAGAAATGTATCGTCTAATTATACTTAATCATTTTAAGTAATGCTATAATGTACTAATAAATTGCTAGCACTTGTTTCAGGCTCCAATAAGATTTATTTTTTGGGCCCCCTTTTATCATATGCTCACAGTAAAATGAAAGCATTCTGAAAGTGTAGTCGAATTTGTCTTTAGTGGAAATTGGATCGATATATAAATGAACTTGTTTTCTTTCTTAGTCATGTGCACTTGGTTGAAAGCACGCTCTTATCAGTGAAGAGAGGGGAGCAGGGACATAGCCTGGAGTGAACAATACTAGTTTTTTTTATTCTTATTTACTTACTAGTTATTTTTAATATGTTTTATGGTAATTAAAGAGAAATTTTAAAATTCATTAACTGTTTAAAAATTTAATATTGTCCCTATTAGCTGTTTGGATCGAAATGGTGCTACGGGCTGGGAATGCAAATCCTCTATGGCTCAATTTCGAGATACCCCATCACGCGTAAAAGCCAACTCTTTGGAGAATTAGTGAAACGATGCATTTCAACGTGGCGACAATTTGTGAAACTCGGAGCGCTCATTCTACCACGTTCTCTCAATTCCTTGGAGAAGTATGAAGCAACTTGCCATTGCTTATGTAATGTTAAAAATATGCTAGGTCGAGTTAGACTTTGATCAAATGAGTTTAAACTGTATAGTAAATTAAAGGCATAAAATATGTATAATGTTTTTTTTTTTTACAACTTAGAATTGAGCCTACTTAAAACCTGACCTGACTTGGCCTGACTTGAAAGCCTATTTAAAAGTAAATTTTTTTTAAATACGCTCGCATTTTAGTTTTGAATATCTCAAATATACTTTAAGATTATTATAATATAAAGTAAATTTTTTTAAATAGGCTCGTATTTTAGTTTTGAACGTCTTAAATATACTTTAAGATTATTATAATATATAACCTAATTTATCAATTACAAATAACATTAAAATTAATAATAAATCCAATTAATTAAAAACATAATTAGAAAAAAAAAGAATAGATTGATTAAAAATTATAACCTAATTTATCAATTACAAACGTTTATATGTTTGTGATATATTACATAACGTGTGTGTAAATAAGCCAGTCTATCGAATTTATAGGTTAGGTATTTAATTAAATATATTTAATTAAAAGTTTGAACCTATCTTAAATCTATTTAGTAAATAGGTCGGATTAAACCTATTAGGAACTTGACCTATGTCCAGCCTTACCTATCTATATAAAAGACAATGAGCGTGTAATTAGGAGTCCTTTCAACCTCACAAGCACTTTATACAACAAAACGGCATCAAGCAAATCCAATTGACCTTGTGTTAAGGTGATCCTCGCCCAGCGTGACCCTTAAATCTTTAGTCTTGACCTCCTAGACCTATTACTTCAACTTCTTCCATTATCGAAACACCTTCATTCTAATTACTTCTAAATAATGCATTGCCATTCTTCACACACACTTCTGTACTTTGATCTTTAAATTTACTTTGACAATTCAAGAAAATTGTAGTAAAGGACATTAAGAATTCACAATGTTTGATCACTACTTTTTAGGACATAGCTCCTCTTCCAATTGTTTAATAATGTATTTTTTTACTAATATTTAGTTGGGTAACAGAAGAGATTTGTAATACAAAATTAATCATGTTACTTATAAATAACATATAAAAAATTCTTCTATCTCTACTTTATAAATAGGATCAAAGGGAGTATGAATTATAATTGATTAGCTAAGTGATTTACTATTTGAGTTTAGTGACAAGTAGGTAAAAGGAACGCATAAAATTTGAAAAATGAGAGATGACATTGTTTATAAATTTTATATACGTTAATTATTCAAGTGATTGACTAATTTAATTTTGAATTATTTGAAGTTATATTTTACAACATTTATTTATCTAATGTTTTTCTTATCCCGGGAAAATATCAACCTAGGAGCTGTAGCATATTTATATTAGTCAAAAGTCAATAAATTTTGAAATTTCATTGCAATATATTAATCCTTCACTAATATTAATTTTTTACTTGAAATGATCAAATTGCCCCTAAAGTATAAAAAAAAAAAAGCCACCCCCATTGTTATCGGCACCAACCACCGAACTGCCGGCGAAGTTGCTAAAGCCCTTGCCATTGGCAAAATCACCTAAGTTTGATGTCAGTGAGACTTTTATTCCTTTTTAATTGGCAAAGGTGGCTTAGGGGGTTTGATTTTATAATCTCTTTGCCGCCTAAGAAGCTTGGTGGAAGCCACCAAGCTCATTTAATAATACATAGTAAAAAAAATCTACTAACCAAATTTTTAAATCACTTCTATGTTACAACATAATAGTGTGTTGTTAATTTTAGAATAACACTTATTATTTTACTAATTAATATTACTTGTTAATTTGATATGATCAATTATAAATTGTAATTTTTAAAACTTTATGTATTTTACTTGTTAAAGTCTAAGTGGATTGTTGTTAATCATGAAATGGTTGTTGTCAAAATGGGAATGAAAACTTGTTGATGAATGATTAAAACTTGTATAATTAAGCCCATCTTATTGGCTTTTTGTTAGTACCTAAATGAATTGTTGTTAATTTTAAACAAGTTATTGTTAAAACTTGAATAAATATTTATTGATGAAGAATTAACATTTGTACAATTACACCTATCATATCTATTTTTCTAACTTATTAAAACCTGAATGATTTGTTGTTAATTTTGAACAAGTTGTTATTAAAGCTCGGATTAATATTTGTTGATGGAGGATTAGCACTTATATAATTAATTCCATTATATATGTTTTTCTAACTTGTTAATGTCCAAATTGACAATTATTAATTTTGAATACATTGTTGTTAAAAGTAAAATGAATACTTGTTGATGAAAAACTAATACTTATACAATTAAGCCCATGCTATCTTTTTTCTAACTTGTTAAATCTTGAATTGAAGGTTATTAATTTCCAATGTGTTGTTGTGAAAGCCTGAATGGATACTTGTTGATAAATGAGTAATACTTGTACAATTAAGCACATCCATTATATTTCATTGTAAAGTATTACTTCTTTATCAAGGGTGGCTAGTGGCTGGTGCTGGTGATAGTGGGGGATGGTTTTTATTATTTTATATATCAAGGGTAATTTAGTCATTTCACGTAAAAAATTAATATCAATCAAGGACCAAGGAACAACAATAAAATTTTTAAAATCTAATGCTCCCTAACTAATAGAAATATGTTACAACGATCCTTGGTTGATATTTGAAAAATCACTCCTAGGTCCCTTGTAAGGATTCTAATCATCAAGAGGTCTCATGAAATATACAAAATACACCAATGTCCCAAATTTATTATTTTAAATATATTTTACATTAAATTATTAAAATACCCTTGTATTATTTTTTTTTTAAAAAGCTCTCCATTGCCAATCAACTAACCAAAGCTCTAAGTAGTCCCCATCATTGGCTGGCCAACAACTGGAGCACATATTAGAGGCTAGATCTCCAACATTGACAGAGAAATAATTTTTGGAAAAGTGGTCTTCGGAGGATTAGAATCCAAGACCACATGTTCCCAAAAGGAATATGAACCACTAAGGGGTGTGTATGTGTGTGTTAAACTTGGGAAGAAATTGTTGGTGAAGTACAATCTATAGTTAATAATGTTTAAGGTACTAGTCATTTATAAGGTGACTTGTTCAATAGAAAATATGCACTTGTGATAATCAATGATATATGAAATAATATTATTCATGCAGGTTACTGTCAATGAAATATATACATGATTAATAGTTAATGATATTTAAGGTAGTTGTTATTTATACTAAGTGACTTGTCAATGGAGAATATACACGTTTAATAGTAATGATGTATAAAATATTTGTTATTTGCACTGAGGGACTTGTTAATGAAAAATATGCACAATTTGTAATCAATGGTATTTAAGAAAGTTGTTATTTGGTATGTTTGAGTGATTTCTCAAAAATATACATATTTAATAGTCCCTGCTATATAAAGTACTTGTTATTCAAGCTAGTAACTTGTCAATAAAAAATATATACATTTAGTAGTCATTAATGTATAAAATACTTGTTATTCATTGAGTCACTTATCAATAGATATATGTACATTTAGTAGCCATTGAAGTATAGATTCTTGTTATTTTCCCTCTTATGAAGACCTAATGTTATTTGTTTTGGTTTTGCTTTCGCACTCGGCATCTTGAAGTGTTTGGGTATGTTGGGTTCATTGTTTGCTCAGTCCATTACAGACTAATTTGAATCCTTATTTAGGTGGAGCCCTCCTAAAGAAGTTTTACAAGTATCACCGTCAAAGCATGCTCTTATTTATTCTAATTAATTCTAGACCTTTAACCATTTTTTTTTTGGGGGGTAAAATCAAGGCCAAAGCCCTTACTTTTATTCAACGGCAACAAAACAGGGCTTAAAAAAGACCATAAACCTTTACCATTTTTTTTTATTAGAGAGAGAATGCTATAGTAATGAGAAGAC